TTATGTAAACTTATATTTAATAAGATTTATCCCTCATGCAAAAACAAGATACAAACAAAAACTAAAGGACTAAAGAAGCAAAAAATTAAGATAATAATAAATATTTTAAGGAGACTTACAAAATTATAAGGTCAGTGAGAAATGAAGGTAAGATGGCTCAGAGGGTAAAGGCACCCAAGGACCTGAGTTTGATCCTTAGAACCATACTGTGGAAGGAGAGGACAGACTCGGACGTCTACTGAAATCACTAGCTTAAAACTCTATATTATTTTTAAAATATATTAACAGTTGACATGCTAAATTTCATACATACTTGGGTTCAGATTTGACCTAATTTCTTCTTTAAATTTCGTGTCTCATCTTCTAAGTTAACATGGTAACGTGAGGAGACCTCCAGTGAGGCCTCTGACATGGACTGCTTTTTTAGGGTGTCAGCTAGTTCTTGTTGAAGGTCTCTCACAACTACCTGGTAAGATATTTCTGTTACTGACTCTATAAATCATACCACCGAAATACATGAACGATATTTAAATCTCACATATATGCTGGAGAATGTAACCATATGGATATGTGAGACTAGTGAGGTGAATTCTACACAGTAGAGCATTTTATTATATACATATATAAACCACTGCATTTTAATGTAAATTTACCCATATTTAAATTTTTATCTTTTAAATGAGATATAAAATTGGGCATATTAATGGGATACCACATAATGCTTTGATACGTGCATACATATAATGATTATTAAATCAGGTAGACAGAGTGATCCTCTCAAACATGAATCATTTCCTTATGGTTAATCTTTCTAAATCCTTGTTCTAGCTGTTGGAAATATATACTACATTATTGTTTGGGAGTTTACCAGAGTTTCTTGCTCTTCACTGTAACTGAGCACCACTGATCAACTTGCTTCCCATCACTTCTCCAGCCTCTTATCTGCCCAGTTTCAGGAATCCACCATTCTACTCTGGAGCTTTAACGGAATCAGTCTTTTACCCGGGTGTGGTGGCACATGCCTTTAGTTCCAGCACTCGGGTGGCAAGGCAGTGGCAAGGCAGATCTCTGTGAGTTCAAGGCCAGCCTGGTCTACATAGTGAGTTTCAGGCCAGCTGGAGCTACAGGGAGACCCTGTCTCAAAA